AAAATATCGAGCAGTGTACAGGCGACTTGCTGAACTCAGCTTCTCTTTTGCTCAGGGAGGACCCGCACTGCATGTACCGGATCGTGGGTGTCACGTCGTTCGGGACGGCCTGCGGACTCTCCGCCCCCGGCGTGTACTCCAGGGTGGCGCACTACGTGCCCTGGATCGAGGACGTCGTGTGGCCGCCCGGGCGCGAGACGGCCGGCTGAGCAGGGCGTCGTCGGCGACCTCACAAGCTGAGTGTATGGGACTTTTCTCATCTTTTTTCGGCGTCATTTTCGCGAGAAAGAAAGTCACATCGTGGTTGTACATTTTTGTTCGAGTACGTCACAAGAGTGACGAGGATTTCATCTGTGCAGGGCGAGATACTGTGTTAAAAGTAACAGTATTACATCTGCAGATGCTGGTGTATTATGATATGATGACGCGATTGCGTGATGCTGCCTCCAGCAGTCGTGCTCGGAGTTGAGAGCCTGACTGTTTATGCGTGCTGTTATACAGTACGCTTATGTTTCATTATTTATAGAGATGCGTAACGTTTTGCGGTAACCATTCTTTTGCCGTGTTTATGCATGTATTATTACGCGGAAAACTACTTTTGATCTCTCGCGGCTCGTCTTCTCCGTATAGGAGTTACAGGATACAGACCGAACATAGACTAACATCATCAGTCTCGTTATATGATAATAATAAATTTGCACGCGACATTGCGATGTGTACTGCCTAGAGTGCACCTTGGCCAATAGAGGATTAGTGTGGATTCAGAGTTCACGAAACGCAAGCGCGATTTTCTCGCAAGGCGTGATTTTTCACGCTTCGTAAGCTTCACACAGCCAATCAGGAACCGACTTTCATCACGCCTAGCGTGAAAATCACGCTCGCATTTTGGGAACTCCGTATCCACCTTAAGGGTGATTGCGGCCAGAACATTGGACTGTCTTGTAAATGTTTTGATTGGTGCTGCCGCCGTTAGGCAGTGGGAGCGCCTGCGACGCGCAGGGTAGGCCAACCCGCCGAGCAGCTGAGTGGAGCCAGTGGCCCGCCCTGCTGACAGTGCAGGGGCTCGGACTCGGGGAGCCGGAAAAAAGAAAGGATCATAGTGAATGAATGGTAATGACCTGACCTAATATTCAGCAAAGACAATTTTGAGAGCTGCTGTGAAGTGGATTCTGAGAAATACCCAAAGTGTTTATATTTGTAGTTGGAATTTGCCGGAACTTCAGACGGTGTCTCTTTAGTTTTAAAATAGACAACCTAAGCTAAAATCACTCAAAGGAGAGCAGCTACAGACTTTACAATACTTGAAAGGAAAATAAAACAATCATTTAAAAATAGCGACTTTTATTCAGTCAGATCATAGTACAGATACACTGTCGTAATAAATAATGATGAATAAATGGTTAATAAACTCTTCAGAATTTCTTCCATATTGTCCATTTCATTTGAATTTTTGTTGTTTATAACAACACGCTTATTCTTTTACGGTTTTTGGTACTTATTTATTAATGTATATCAATGTGATTTGTAATTCACAAATCTTAACCTACTCAGCCCCGGCTGTGAAACCGAATGCCTCTTAATCTTAAATTGCTCTGTGTTCCCCTAGTGTTGAATCAGTCATATGATATGTTATTATCATGTGAGATTTAAAGTAAAGAGGTGTCTAGTCGATTTCACAGCCATAATGTTTGTTTTTTTAAATACCGCAACCCAAATCTTATGGCCTATTCAATTTATCACTCACAAATGACCTATTACTAATTCTAAGTTGTATCGCAACATTGGCAGGGTCTACAAAAACATTTCGTTTCTTAGCACATGGCAACTGCTGCAATAATACATTACCACGTCTACAAATAAATTCTCGAAATTCTATTACAAGTAATTAAGGTTTGCATCTGAAGTGAGTGACGCACTATACCGGCGCCCACCCAGCACGCAATCCGTGAAATGGGTTTGAGATCATCTCTGCATCATTAGCAACAGTATTACTTTGCGTATTATATTACTACTGGTATTACTTTTACCATCTGAACAGTAACAGTCCGCGTCGTCAGCTGAACGGCACGCTTGTTTCAGGTAAGCGTTCCTTTTCGTTTTCACTTTGGTGAACAGCACCCTTTGTACTCTCACACACAACCAACTGTCAAGAGGTACTTTCCTCAAAAAAAAAAAAAAAAAAAAAAATCAGTATAAACCCTTTACAAAAATCGGTTAAAACTCAGAAAAAAAAATCAAGGGTAAAAATTTTAAAAAGAAATAAAGAAAAACCAGAAAAACCGGTGGACGCTTGAATTTCTAGTGAAGTACCCCTCGCCACGCCAACCGTCGCCATGCACCCTGGTGGTCGGCGGCGGCCTCAGCAGTCGAGCTGCTGGCACTGCACGCCCACCTCGGTGCAGCGGCACTCGAGGCACGGCCCGGACAGCTCCTGGATGATCTTGCCCACCCGGTACATCCTGCCGTAGATGTTGCAGCCCGCCAGCTTGAGCAGCCCGGCCAGGCCCGGCCAGGGCCGCGGGGTCGGCGTCGGCGCCGCGGTGGAGGCGGGCGGCGGCCGCCGCGTGCTCATGTGGTGCAGCTGCGCCGGGTAGCTGCTGCTGCTGCCGCTCGACGCCTCCATGGAGGGCCGGTGCTTGACGCTGCCGAACAGCAGTGACGGCCGCAAGGTGGCTAGCGGCATCGCGGTCGTCGTTGTCGTCGTCGGCCTCCTCGTGGAGGTTGTGGTCGTGGAGGTGGAGGTCGTCCTGGGTGCCGGAGTGGTCGAGGTCGTCGTGGTCGTCTTGGGTGCTGCGGTCGTCTTCGGCGTGGTGCTCGCCTTGGTGGTAGGAGCAGGGGTGCTGCCCGGGAGGGTCGTCGTTCGCGTGGTCGACGTCGTCGTCGGCTTTGACGTCGTGGTCGTGGAAGGTTTGGTAGGCTGTTTTGTTGTCGCGGCTGGCTTTCTTGTCGTTGTCGTCGGCGGCGGCGGCCTGCTTGTCAAGTTTGTGGATCTCTGCGTGGTGGAGGAAGGCTTGCTCGTCGCGGAGGTCGAGGGCCTGCCCGTCGTCGACACTGGCTTGCTGGTGGTCGTCCCCTTGGTGGGCGCGCTGGGTTTGGGCTTGGGCGGCGCGGCGGAGGCGGAGGCCGTCTTCTTGGCCGGGGCGGACGCCAACCTGGCCGTGGTCGACGGCGGCGCCGCGGTCGTCGTGGCGGCCGGCTTAGGCTCCTGAGAGGAGGTCGCCATCGTGGAGGACGGCCTCGTCGTCGTCCTGGGCGCTACGGTGGTGGTGGTGGTGGTCGTCGTTGTCGTCGAGGTGCTGGGCGGGGGCGCGGCGGGCGTAGCGGGCGCGACGGTGGGGTCCGGTTGGATGAAGAGCTCGAGGAACTTGTCGAAGGAGAACGAGTCGTCCTCCTGCGGCGGGCTCTGCTCGTGCACCGGCTCGTGCTGGTTCGTGGACACGAAGTCGTGGTACTGGACGTCGTCGTCCACCTTGTCCTGGGCCTCGTTCTCCGACTCGTCCTCGCTGCCCCACAGCGCGTCGAACAGCGACGTCGGCGTCGTAGTTGGACTACCAAAGAGGAAACAACAAAATTGTTCAGAGATAAAAACATACAAACCAAAGTCACTTCTGCGCGTTAGGCCTACTCACCGTTCCTTGCGGACGGGGAGGGGCGGTGACCTCCTGGTGCTCGTCGTCGTCGTGGGTGGCGACGTCGGTCTAGGGGATGTCGTGGTGCTCGTCGTACTCGGGGCGGCGGCCGGGGCTGTCGTCGTGGAGGTCGTGGTCGAGCCTGACGCCGTGGTCGTCTTTTCCACCGCCGCCGCCGCCGTCGTCGTCGCTTTGGTGGTGGCCGTGGTGGGGGGCGAGGGGGTGGGGGCGGAGGTGGGGGTAGGTTTCGTTACGTTGGGGACAGGAGCTGTTGTGGTCGGGGCTGCCGTGGTCTTGGAAGTCTTCAACGTGGTCGATGAGGGCCTCTTCGTCGTCCAGGTGGGTTTGGTAGTTGTTGTCTTTGTCTTGACGATTGGTTTGGTGACCGTCCTCGTCGTCGTCGTCGTTGACGCGGTCGTCGGTCTGTGGCGGTGGCTTTTCGTCGTCGTCGAGGGAGTCACAGTCGTGGTGGTAGTGGTGGTCGAGGTCGTGGTGGTTGTCGTGGACGTGCTGGACGGGACCGGTCGCCTCGCCGGCACCAGGTCGGGGACGGGCTCCGCCACGACGGCGTGCTCCGCGACGACGTGGACGCGCTGCCCGTCGCCTTCGGCCAGGCCGGCGAACAGCAGCGGCCGGTCTCTGTTCGCGTCGCCTGAATAAGAGAGATCAAGGTTTCAGTGAGGCCATGACAAATGTATCCACGAGGATGCCGTTTTTAACTTGTGCGCATCCTGGCACCCTCATCTTCGTCCTCAAACTCCGTCTCGTCAAAAAAATTCAGCTCCGCCGTGGAAAAGATAACCCCAACCCACTGAAAATCGTACCCCAGCGCCGTGGGAAAAGTACCCCACACTTACCGCAGATGATGGCGCCGCAGCAGCGGTCCGGGTCGCCGGTCGGCGCCGGGCCCCGGGTGCACCCGGGCGGCACGGCCCCGCACGAGGGCTCCTGGCACTGCACCTCGCCGTCGAAGCAGAAGCACATCCGGCACGCGCCCATCCCCGAGAGCAGCTCGCCGTGGCGGTAGCGCCGGCCCCCGGAGGCGCACGGCTCTGCGGGGAGAGAGAGGAGCAAGAGCGAGAGCACGGCGTCAGTGAGAGGCGTTTGAAATGTTTGAAAAGTCGCGCGCTACGCCACTCGGGTTGTGCCAACCCTACGGCGCTAAGCTTTGCGTGCAGTTTCATTGCTTGATACTCTCGTGCTTTACTCATCAAAATTAACAACACAGTCTCTTTATTTTGTAATCTATCCTCAAGATTATTCTAGTGCCGTCATCCTGAAAACCAAATAATTTAGTACTTTCTTGTCGTTCTGTTGGCAGCTGTTGCAGCGCACGGTGCATTCGACTGTCCTTTTTTTAAAATTTTGTTTACGTTTAGAGATGGTTGTGTATCTTGTTCTGAGAAGAAGCCTAAAACGTTGTTAACACTTGTGCCTTTTACGTGCTGTGCCAACAATTCTCAAGCTATTTGAAGCCTTCGTATTGGTGAGCAGACTATATTTATCTAAGAGCGCTTGTCTCCTGCCCGTGCTCTTTCCCTCGTGTAATTTTATTCGCGTATTGCGCGTAGGGCCTAACCCCCACTAACCGCATTGGACCGCACACCGGCTAGTTTCTGTACTTGTTTCGATCTTTTCCTGATGTTGTATCGAATGAATTTTATCATATACTAGTCCAAGTCGAAGAGACCGAGTCATTTCTCGCTACATCTAAAATTTTTCTTTAACGATTGAGTTGTAAGGAAAGTATACTTACTGCTCCCGCCATTGCCAAGCAATGGATCTGGCGTAACTGCATCAGGTATTACTGTTCTTATTGTCACTTCAGAGGGACGATCTCTTGGTGGAGCAACTTTCTGTGCTGCTTCGGGCTTGTTTGGGTCCTGTTTAGCTTGGTAAAATGGACCGTCGACTGTGGGATCTCTCGGAACAAAACCTCCTGACGGCAAAGAGTGAAACAACAATATTGTTTTGTTCCCGTATCTAAATAGAGTGATGAATACTACACTAAGAGGTGAATTACCTTCAGTCTCAGTTGGTGGCGAAAAGAAATAGAAGCTATCCATTTTGTCCTGAGACTCTTTCGACTTTGATAAACCAGTGGAATCTTGGCCTTGTCCTGCACTCGCCTTGTCCTCAGGAATCACAGCATCTTCTGCCACGAAAGGGATAATTCTGCAAATGGAAGTTTGCTTTCCTTTCTTAATTTAAATAAGAGCCTAAAATATTTTTTAAAACAATAGTTGCTCAAGTTTAAAAACATGAGAGAAATCATTTCTAAATGATTAGCTTTCCTGCTCTTACCTTAAGTTGGGCAGTGAAGGGGGTAATGAAGGTTCATTGTAGTCATAGTCATAATCTTGATCCTTCTGGCGTGTTTTATTTATCATTGCCTCTAACACTGGCAAAATTTTGTTTTTGTCTGGAATAACTGTATTGTTCTTCACTCTCAGTAAATCCAGAGTGCTTCCAAGATCAAGTTTTGTGTTTAGGGTTATTGCTATATTGTCTGCAGTCCCAGTCAACAGTGTAGTTTCCTCTGACAAAGGCAGCTGAGTGGTTTGTAGATCACTCTGATCTGTTCTTTGAGTCTCAATTTTTACCTTGCTGTCTTTGGATGAAATCTCTCGATTGCTGCGAGCATCATAGCTGATAGAACGCACTGTGTTCTCGCCCTTGCTTGGTCTTCCCGGTAAACCCTTTAAAATATCAATACAATAATGGTGAATGTGATCAAATAATTTTTGTTGTTTTCAAAGCAAGGTGCTACCTTTTATCTATCTACATTACCTTAAGATTGTTGTTTGAAGCTGTTGAGCCTGTTTTTGTGCTGCTCAGCCTGGATTTACCTGCAACAGTCCAGCATTTGCCCTACACACGACAAATATACCCTGATCTCCAGCAAGACTGAGAAAAACGTCACAATTTCAATCAGAGCCTGATCTTTTGTGTACCACCATGGGCTGGTGAACCGAATGGATTTTTCCGTACTTCTCTTAGTTAGTTTCAACTACAACTACAACTGTGAGCTCATTGTAAAATGTAGTTAAACTGGGCTTCAACCAAATTTAATTTATTTTTGGGAAAACTATTATTTAGTTGTTGTTTTTTTTATTGTGAAATGCAGTAATTTTTTTTTATTTTTTTTTGAGGTTGAGAAATTTTGCTTTACTTACTGGTGTCTATTCATGAAACATGTAACTTTTCTCAAAAAATCTGGTAATTGTCCTTTTGACGCGAGAGAGCTCCCATTCGTTTCCCCAGTGAGGTTTCACCCGTCGCCGTACTCACTGCAGTCGTAGGACACCGGGCAGCACTTGCCGGGCGCGGTGACGGGCTGGCAGCCCTCCAGCGGCAGGTCGCACTTGAGCGGGGCGCAGCGCACGCGCCCGCGCATGCAGAAGCACGACTCGCACCGGCCGCGCGCCACCGTCTTCACCTGTCGTGGGAAAAGTACCCCACCCCCTCCGGTTAGAATGGTATACCCGCGGGGGTTACATTTACCACCACGGGTCACCCAAAAAGGGTGCCGCGGGCCAAGTAACACTACCCGCGTGATAAACATATCCCACGGAAATTTTTCAAATTGCATAATAAACATACCCCCCACTGAAAATTTGTTACCTACGTGAAAAACATACCCCCCTGAATTTTTGTTACCTGCGTGATAAACATATCTCCACTGAATTTTTGTTACCTGCGTGATAAACATATCCCCACTGAAATATTGTCATCTGCGTGATAAAAATACCCCCACTGCAATTTGGTTACCTGCGCGCCCTCCTGGAAGCGCTTGCCGTCCACGGTGCAGCCCGCGGGGCGGCGGCGCGGCGGCGCGTGGCCCGTCGCGGTGCCGTTGGCGCCGTTGGCGCCGTTGGCGCCGCAGTTGTAGCTCGTGGGGCAGCAGGTGTGGTCGCGGTACTCGGGCGCGCACCCGGGCGCCGGCAGCACGCACTGGGGCCGCACGCAGCGCTGCTCGCCCCGCACGCAGTAGCAGTAGTCGCACAGCGTCGAGGACGACAGCGCCGAGCCCTCGGCGAACAGCGACCCGTTGAGGTAGCAGCCTGGCGGGCAGGGCGAGAGGGGGCAACGTCAGCGCCGGCAGGGTAGGCAGCCCAACGTGCACGGCTGTGAGGGAGGCGGTGGGCGGCCGCGCCCGTTGGAGGCTCCGCGCTCTTACTACTATCTATGGGCGCGGCCCGTAGGGAGTGTACGACCGTGTTAAATCTACGCGGATAGATTGGAAAGTTTTCCACAATAAAATAGAAAAAAATGAAATGTTCCCAGTAAAATTTTGAAAAAAAAGTTTAAAATTTTCGGACTAAAAAAGATTCATGGAGATATTTCCAAACATACTTCATGGCGTATCTGTGGAAAAAGTATCCCACCACCTGTAAAAGACTGTTGAGTTGAGAAAACTCCACCCACCTCCCAAAGTGAAATTGTCTGTAATTGTCGTTAGAAACGTATTCTCAAAAGAAGACGCGGTTGTAGCCGTTAGAAATTTACCCCGCGACAAAGAAAAATATGTGAGAAAAGTACCCCGCCACAAAAAGTCGGCGTGACAAAAATACCTCATCACAAAAGTACGGTCCTCGTAAGAAAAGTACCGCCTCCATGTTGTTCACCTTTGGAGGGCGCGTCGGAGCGGTAGCGCTGGCCGTGGCGCGCCTCGAGGGCGTTGTCGTGGAGGGCGGCCAGCTCGGGGCAGTGCAGCTGCGGGCAGCAGGCGCCGGCGCGGTGCAGCAGCACGCAGCCGGGGGGCGGCGGGTCGGGCATGGGGGCGCACACGCGCAGCCGGCACACGGGCGCGCCGCGGCGGCAGCGGCAGCGCAGGCAGGGCTCGGCGCGCACGGCCACGGCCTGGCCCGGCCGGTAGCGCGCGCCCTCGAACAGGCAGCCCGTGCCCGCGTACGCGTCGCCCGCCGCCGCCGGCACCGCCTGCTGGTCGGCCTGCTCCGGGGCGGCCGCCGGCAGCAGCAGCAGCAGCAGCGCGGCCAGCGCCATCCGGGGCCGCATGGGGCGGCGCGTCCTGCAACAGGAAGAAAAGTACCCCGACCCGTGAGGAAAGTACTCCGGCCCGTGAGAGAGGTACCCCGCCCTCCCGTCCCGTCTAAACTTCGCGTGTCACACTAGACATCTTGGCGTAGGGACAC